TGTCAGCAACACAAAGGGAAAAGGTGATCATAGTTAATGCTTTTAAATATGTATTACTCAGAGAGCCTTGAAGGAGTTCCTTTATTGATCTAATATTCTGAAGCATGATAAAGCAGGAGAAAAAATATTGGCACCTTTCTCCAACACATCTTTAATATCTACCTATCTGCAAGCTCTTGAATTTAAATGACATACCAGAAGTCAAAACATCTGAAAAATCTATCAAAAACAATCCAAGCGCTTTAAAATAATTTGATCAAAATAAAGTATCCATAATGAATACAAAGCAAAAGTAAATATCGTTGTGACTGATGCGACAACATTTATACTGTCCAATTGGATTGCCTTAGAAGTTTTGAAACATGAAAGAAAACATATGATCAAAAGCTGCTCCTAATTATTTACTAGTTTTTTTTTAAATCTAAATGTAAATCAATATGACCTCCATATTAGAGAATACATATTCAACATGATGGCTCACTCCTATGGAGATTATCAGTCCATCCTCCATAAGAAGGAAGGAGAAGATTAAGGGGGAAAAAAAGAACTGAGAGAACAGGATCTTAAGAGAGATTGTTTCTCTAACCAGACAAGGCATCACATTCTGTCCAGGTAATCTGAATGCTGAGAAGTGGCAGATGTTAAGCTTTACTAAAGAGTTTGCCAAATTGAAACTCATTTCCTATATTGTGGTATCTTAAGGCTATTTTAGTGATGCATTGTTAGAATAGGGAAATTGGTTTCCACTCATTTATACGTATCAGTGTTTTAAAGGGGGAAATTTAGTCATTGGTAGGATCCAGTTTTCCTAAGAAAGTTTTTCTCTCAGTTTTTAGTCTGTTAAGGTGTTTAGTTGGAGGTATATTCCAATCACAGGGACAGAATTATGGAATTCTCTAGGTCTGTACTAAGTAAGAATCTAGAAAACACTGATTGTGTATATCTGTACAAAGTGTGTGTTGCTATAGTTGTTTAAGTTACTGTTAATAAGAACTCATTTGGTTCCCTTAAGTTTGGGCCTGATTATTATTCTAAGAGCTGTACCACACAGGTTTTGACTATATTTTGGTTATTCCCAGCCCTGTACTGTATTACAATAAATAGTTTTTTTATAACTGAACATTCAGACAAAACAACAGAATCCAATAATTATAATAAAAATAATAAACTTTATTTTATATAGGGCCTTTAAAGCTGGCTTCTCAAAGTGCTAATTTGCTAAAAGTACTAAAATCTAACTTTGGTTAAGAAAATATTTGAAAAATGTAAAGCATTATTGTTCCTGTTTAATCACTCTTTAAAATCTCAACAGAATCAATCTTTTAAAAATGTATATGAAATGTATATTTCTTTCTGCTCAAAATGATTTGGTGTTTTTGCCATTTTGAGAGTATAAGTGGAAATCAGTTTAAGTTGTTTTCTGTCCAAAAACACCTGTCTAAACAATAGCAAAGCCAAAAGAAATTCCCAGCTGTCAGCCACAATGACATTTTAGGACAAAAAAATAAAAAAAATCCAAAAGAAAGGGGTATTCTTGCATAGAAACTCAAACAAAACATAATATGCACACCCTGGAATCAGGCCAAAGGATCTTAAATACAACAGAATATTTAATATAATCATTCATAAACATTAAAAGTCAAAACAAATTGTTAAGGAAAAATACCTTTTTGTGAGACCTCACAAAAGGAATTTTTTTTATAATTATTCCTTCTGATGTTCCCCCTAATCTCTTAAAGCTTTTAAACACCACATGGTGAGATTCTCGAACAACATTTACACCTGAAATCATACTCTCTTACAGTTTTGTAGAGCTGACAAAAGGCTACACAGACTAAGTGATTAATTAATACAGCATACAACAGCACATAATGGAATTTGTATCATCTGTCTTGAGTGTTTTTGAGAACTCTTTTAATGCAGATTAACATACAATAGAGAGTTGCTTATTCAGCTCTTGCTTGTAGCCTTAAGACACTTTGTCTATAGGAACCTGCTAAGGGTGTAATTACACCTGTTACGCTTAAATTTCAAACACATACATCATCTTTTTTCCTCTTCTCCACCCCTCTTATTTCCCTTGGGCTTATTTCACCAGCATAGAAACTATTTTGTGAACTTTAAGCCTATCTGGTCGACATAACAAAAGTTTCTACTTTACAGTATGAATTTCATGTCATCAATTTCTTTTTAATGGCTTTGCTTAGAGGGCATTCATATGGATTTTCTACTTTTTAACATCTTTAGTTCCTATTTGCATAACTGAAAAACCTGGAAATTAAAACTTAAAATGTTCTTTACTTGCATCAATGTCAAGTCATAAGAAACATGTGTACGACAGTGAAAACTAAAAAATATGCCCTATATAAAACGGTAGAGAAACATCTTTGGGTTGATATGCAAAAGTAAATTAGTGAAAACCAGGGTGAAGGTGTCTAAATAAAACACATTAGTGACCAAGTTCCAGAATAAAAAACACAAATTCATAGTTTTTCATAACTTATATGGTATCATAAATTAATAATTCTTCTACAAAATCTTTATATATATATTTGGCGACTATGGGTACACTTTCCTTCTTTAGCAGCGTTGCCTCTGGCTGAACTTGCATGGCTGAAGTATTAAGTTTACATTTCACTTTTCACACTTGGGGACTGCTAAGTGGTTTCTAGTGACATTCTAGATATATGACAGCCTTGCATGTCAAAGGTCACAACTCTACACTGAAAAATTAGACAAAAGTCCTAGAACTGTAATCCTTTCTGTCTCAGAGAGGAATAACGAAATATGAAATATATCTCTAACCTTCAGCAGTGTTAAAGATTTTTTTTAACCTTGTAATCTTACAAAAGCCTTCCATGGAACATTTCCCAACAGAACAGTACAAATCCCTTAGACAAAAAACAATGACTTTATGTCATGGCAAATGTCATGATTAATAAAAACAATGAACAGATACCAAAATCAGTTATTTTCATCCAAATCACTGAATGATTTAATTGAATAATCCTTTAAAATCCCAGCTTCATTTTTTCATACAACACACAAATTAAAATTGAATTCAAAAGTATTTTATCTTATTTCACATTTTACATTTATGAACACAAAATTATATTCATATCACAAACATGCTTGGTAAATGTAAAGAGTATGTAACAAATACATTCAGATTACAATTGAAATATGTATCTGAAAAACACAAGTAGACATTGAACAGGAGGAAGTCATTGGATTCACAAAGTAAAGTACTGAATTTCACAAATTCAACTTCAGTTGTATCAAAAAAATACAGGATCAATATTGCAACAAGGGAATTTTTCAGTAGCAAATTACATCTAAACATATTTTAGAGATAATGCAAACACTGTGGATTAAGCAAGTAATCCAAACAGTTAATTGCTTGTCTATATATGATGTTATACCCTTTAGTGTAAATATATTTTTTTGGTCCTTAAGATATATATGAAACATAAAACCACAATATACAGTAAATATTAAGGATGTTTTAGTATTAAGTTTTCTTTGCCAATCATAAAAATATCTAGAAATATATTTTAAAATAAAATGAAAAGCAACAATTTTAGAATATTGTTTTCAAAAAGGTCTCATCGAGGTACTGTGTGTAATTCTATGTTAAAAAATATCCTTGTTTTTAATTATTAGTAAATAAAAAGACAAGAAAATTCTACATAATACATATTAGTAAGCACCTGATGGATTAGTGCCTTTGAAGAAAATGTCTTCTACTAAAACTTACATTGCCTTTGTCTTGTGTCATGTTCTGTGTATTTTTAAATTATACATCTCCTTTTCTGACAGCTTACCGTTTCTAGATGAAGATGTAGCTGTACATTTGTCCCACTCTAAAAATAGAAATAACAATTTACATTATTTTTACGTTATTTTCAAATATTTGGCTACAAGCTGTGGGTGTTTCACATTATCTGAAACTTATTGGGAACTGAAATTTCTCAGGTAGTGATGTCTGTGAAACTGAAGGTTCCACTTCACCAACAGGTTAAAAACCAAATTAAAAATAAAATGAAATGTGAGGGTTTTTTTTTTTTATTTAAAACAGGTAACACTGTCGTATACATCATGATATACAGAAAATAACAAAACATACAGAGAGGTTCAGGTCTTTGTTTACAAAATCTTGAAGCATTCATTATTAAAGACCGCTTAATTATTTGAATAGTCTTTGAATTTGCAAAAAGAATATTGTATCTTATAAGGAACAATAGGTTTATTCCATGCTGGAAAAAAAGAAGAAAGAAAACGCAACATTTTGGCCGTGGAGCCTTCTTCAGGTAAAGCCTTCCACACCTGAAGAAGGCTCCACGGCTGAAAAGTGTTTTCTTTCTTCTTTTTTTCAGCATGGAATAAACGTATTACTTGTTCCTTTGCAGCCTACGCATGCTGACGCAGCTACCCACCTGAACTACTATTGTATCTTATATTCCACGCTCCTTATATAAGAAGGTTTTGAGATTCGCTATATTGTACACATTTATCGTTTTAATTGTTGCATACAGTACATGCCATAGTTTCTCGGACTCCTCATAAATTCTTCCTCACTGTGAGTTATTCTATTCAAGTAAGAGCAAGAATTTCATTACGGTCATGTTGATAAAATAAGGAAATGTTAAAAATAAAATAAATAATGTATTAGCTTTTTGTTTATTGATAAACACCCTAAATACAGTATTTCATTCTAGAAAATAGTGATTCTTCAGAAAACAAGATTATATATGCCTGGAATGAGAAAAATGTTTCTGCAAGATGTCCATTGGTTTTATATGCCAATAGGAACTTTTATAAATTATGGACTGTATACATAATAATAAAAATATGTACATACATTCTCTTTGAGAAGCATAAACACAGTGAAAGGAAACACTGATTTAAATTCTTTATATTATTTTCTGTTTTGAAATATAGAAAACGGTGTGTATGTGTCTAAGGCCTTTTGAAAAAAAGTCAACTATTTGAAATAATGGTAAGGTCGAATTTTTCTTTATTTTTTCTATCATGTGTGGTCCAGGAGCTGGACCATGGCCAGTCAGTAAAGTTGCCTGCTGCTTTGCAGCGCACACTGGTGTAGTCAGTTTGTGAAACCTCTTGCTGTGCCGCAGATATGATCACGATGGAGTTCGAGTTCCTGGAGAACAACAGGCCTGTGGGGAGTCACCAGTGCTGGAGGAGGGGTTGTGGCTGGTTCACTGCACTGCACACATGGAACTCCGAGGAGGATTCACAGTCCGTGCCACAGGCTCCTGACTGTAATTCACAATATCTGCCTTCACTACTCGCTGATTTCAGAGAGAAGGAAAAACAAGTTAGTATGTAACTCTTTTCTTTTATTAAGAACAAATATTTGCTTGTCAGTGCATATATCCCACTGTCTACTATAACTTTTTACATAAGTGCTATGCTATGACATTTATAGGGGAATTAATTCTTAAAATAACGTATGTAAAGTAAAGTATAGAAATGTTGTTTGAGATTCATTTGAAAGCTTATTCCTCCACAATTCCTGGTTCTCCTGACTAAATGACAACTATCAAGGCCAAGCTCATAAAAACGTTAGTCACTAAAATGACACTAATATCAGCTTGCTGGCCGAGGTGATCAAAATTCTGCTGAAATTCATTAATGAACGGTTGGTGCTTAAAGTGTAAGAGCCCACATATCAGCTCTCCAAAGAGATCAGTTGAGTTCAAAGTGATGGAGATCAATGGAAGAAGCTGGAAATTAGGTCCTATGAAGTCTTTTTTTACTATTAACCCAACTTTCATATGCTGCCTTTCACTTGTGAAAAGACATTTACCCCCGGCATCCACATTTACCCAAAGAAGTGTCCACTTAGTGCAAGTATTAGAGATCTCAATTAACCAAGAATTTCTGCACTGAACAATTAGTGATGTATTCTGAAAGTGATTATGAACACAACATATAAGAGTAAAACACAATACTACTGTTAGAGGAACGAACTATGCCAAGTGGTTAGGAAAAAATACAGAGAGCCATTACGGAGAAGAGTAGAACAACTCAGACTTCATAACAATGGACCTTTAAATAACTCTTCTTTTCCACCATTCATAATTAATGAGTATGAGCAGCTAAACCATCCACCAATCGTTTAGCTCTGGCCCCAAGTGATTAAATCAGTTTCAGACATTGAAGCTTCACCTTCGAAATTCAAGGTTTAAAAGTAGTAGAATGGGGCCTGACTAGAGAAATTCTATTTTTCTTTCCTAGACTGGAAAAGAGAATTAGTCGTATAATATTTAGGCCAAAGGTGACAATACTAAAAAGGACAAAGAAAAGACAACTGTAAGCATCCTGTTCTATTAACTAAATATAAAGTCTAGACTTACTCTGTCACTTATTCTCTGACTTTGGTATCAGTGACCAGTCTTTGCATAAAAATTAACAATATTTCAAGATGATTTATTTAAAACACGACAAGTTGCCAATGCAATGTAATGTTAAAATCTGAAAAATAAGTTTTGTATGTTTGCTATTCAACAATACTTTTTGTGTATAAGTGTATAAGCAGAAAGATTAATGAAAGTAACTGTGATTTCAATGCGTTATTTGTGTGAATAAATATGAGAAATCCAAAATAAATCCCATACACCTTGTTAGATTGACATCATAAATTAAAATGGGGAAATATATACCCTAAAGTCTTAAACAGTTATCATTTTGGGGCTTTTGGACAAGGGCCTCTATGTTTCCTTCTACATTCAGTACCTTCTACCAAAACTATGCAACAATAGATATATGTAACACAATATATCTATTTGTCACATGAAGCACCTACTTTAACTATTGTATGGAACAGACTTTACTTTGACATTTCTCAGAACTTGTAACTAGGACCTCCTCCTGTGAGTAGTTCACCAGCTCTGCCCTCACAATACCCTGTCAACAAACCAGCCCAAGGAAAGAATAAATACCACAAACATAGGTTAAATGGAAAAAAATAGAAGACAATGATAGCAACATAAGTCATGAGAAAGGAAAAACAATTAAAATGTTCTTAAACAAAAAGAAAATGATGGTATCATTTACATTACATGAGGAATATATTATGAATTATTAAACTATGATACATCTTAAAATTAAGCTGTCTTTAGTTTGAAATGAGCAGCTGTGGCATTTAATTAATACTGTGTGCCACAGCTGCTTAATTATAATGCAAACCTGATACGTGGCAAAAAGGACATGCCTACTATAAATTAAGTAGTTCCTTGAAATATAGCAGAGAGCTACAACACCCATTTACATTCATGAAAAGCAGTTAAAGCAATGGTTAGTTTTTCTTTTTGAACATGGATCCATTGAGAACTAAATTAGCAAATGATAAAATATAGCTGCAAACAGAAAATGTCCTTTTTAACTTTTTCATACCTCTGCACATACAGTTTTGCAGAAAACATTGAGATAATAAACAACTTCCTCCTTTTCTGCAGTATAACAAATTAATAAGGGGTGTCAGGGGTTGAAATCGGCTTTATACAATACATGAAAAGGGAAAAAGAACAGTTGAGTTAAGCATTTTTAAACTGTAACAAAAAAAATGACTGACTGACTTGTACTTTGACTTGGTGGCAATTCGTGTATGAAAGAATGACAAACAACGGCATGAACTAGACTGGATCTCCAGGTGTACCTTCAGACCGAAGCCTGCTTAAAACAAAATGCCTTTGAGATTTATTAGCTGATGATGTGTTATGTTGAGTTTCTAATTGATCAACTTCAGAGTATCTTATCTAATAAACACAGAGCATGATTAAATGGGTTCCCATGCTGATGTTATCTATGCAAAGGCCACTGACTCCCATGTAAAGCTCTCAAAACCAACCAGTGTTAATAAGACTTATTTGGACTCCCAGGTCTTGGCCTCTCCATCAACCCTGTACATTAGAGATCAAGAAGGACTTCTGGCAACTGGCAGGCAATTAACTGCTCTCGCAGTGTTTGTTGAAAATCTCATGAGCTAAACACGTCACACTTAGCGAAGTATAATGAAGTCAGTATGCTGAAGTGCTGTGATTAAAAAGAATGGCCTCTGCACTGCATAAACAATGTAGACCAATAAAAATATACTTGCTTAGATTATACACAGTTTTGCCTGTCTTGGGCTTATAACACTCATATTTTTAGTTTACACTAACTTATTATGAATGTGGAAAGCTCCAAGAAACTGTTACGGAAGAAAACACTAACAAAAAACAATTCAAACACCTACTAAATTCTTAGTCCTGAGGGATGAGAGGAGTGTGCACATATGGCTCTAGGGCAAATGTTGGAACATTTAGACATGTCGCTGAACCTATGTAAGAAAGTCCAGATAAAAAATAAATGGCTATTTCTTGTTATGAAAACATCAAATGAATCAGAATATTTTAACAATATATTCAATTACTCACATTTAATTAAACACTATTTTACATTGTGTTATTGTAAACAATGTCATTTTTAAATTTTACATTTAGATTTAAATATATGAATGATGCACAAATCCACTGTTTATTTTTAAATTAATTTTGGCAAAGTGTCCTAATTTTGTTGATAGGTTTTACATTACTGTCGATTACATTTAGTATTGGCTTATTGAGTGTCCATGGACAACAACAGTAAGACTGCAAAATAAAAAAAAGAAGAAATACCAAAAGCACAGAATTAACTAATTGACATCAAAGCTACAATTTAACTTTATACATTACATCTTATTTTAATTTTAGATTATTTGTATTCTTTAGTAAAGAACAAAATAACACGGTGGTCACTTTATAGATTTTAACATAACTCTTACATGAGTTTGTATGAGGCACTAAAAGCACAAATTCAGATATTATCCATGGTCAGACAGTGAAAGGAATCTTATTTTGGTGTTTTGATTAAGGCACTTAGCTGATTCTGACAGACCAAAAAGTGATCCCTGTATTTATTGTTGCTTGTTGACAACTCCAGAACTATATACCACAATGAGTTAATTAGTCATCCTTACATTCAACACTCCTCCAAAGACTTGCACAGGGTCATAGGAGATGGCCTACCCTTTGCCTCCCCTCCTACGCTTTCCACAGTCAGTGTGTCTCCACTGAGTCATATCATAGGAAGAATTAATAGCTTTTTAGGAGCTTTCTTAATCTTATCACTTCGACCTACAACTCTCTAGATTGCATATCTGATAGGTGGCCATTTGTATCATTCAAATATAAAGAATAAGGCTACAGCCTCCACATTTTTCAACATCATTAACTTCTTGTATTTTTCAACATCATTAACTTCTTGGATCTACATTAATGAGTGTCCACAGCTGTAATGAAGAATGTGCATCACAGGAAATATCAGACATACAAGGGATACCAAAGCTTTGTGAGAGTATTAGATCACTTAGTTATGGAAGACAAAGAACGTTATCTTTAAATGCTTTTCTATATTTAAAATCATCATACTTCCTAAAATCATTTAATCCAACTTTGTTCTCACCTGTGACTGTTCCATTTCTGCTTTATTCAGTTTTATACCGAGAATGTCAGCAGCCAGGCGCTGAAAGCACAGGAAGACCTCGAAGTGACAGGGATAGGAGAGGGAAAAAAGAAAATACTGGGTATCAGTTCTCACATAAATGTTTTTTTGTTCTTTTTATTTTAGTTTTTAAATCACATATTCAGGTTTCTACTTTTTTAAGCAGAATTTTCTAAAGGAAATGACAGCAATTCTTCTGTTCCTAGCTATTCAAGTTATAGGGGCAAAACCAACTGTTCCCATCATAATATCAGACGTCACATTTGGGGTCAATGCAAATATTTTAACCACCTAAAGAGGGGCCAATAGAACAGAGTTCTGTAGTTGCTAAAACAATTAATACTCACGACATCATATGTCACTTTCGCCTAATTCTTAAAAGAGGAAAATGTAAATAAAAGTGTCAACAAGGGGGGAATGGCTGATTGTGATCTGCTGAAACAGCGAGGTGAAGATCTACAGTGACAACATATCATGAAAAAAGACAGTTGCATATAACTTGAATTCTAAATTAATTAAGTCTAAATTCAAATTTATTTCAAGTGTACTTTACATTAATGTTGTCACTGCATGGTGTTTTCTGATGATGTTTAAGAAAATAATTTTAAAAAGCAGGCAATGCTCTGTAAAACTGGGATATCTCATTTTTTACAGTTTGTTATCATGTGTTTGGGTAAAAGAGTGTTGGACGTGGTGAAGTAAGTCTCCTGAAGTTCATAAACATTGCACTAAACACCACATCACACTGCCAAATGGGGGAAACATAACATGTCAGAAAGAGACTCTAGATGGAGCAAAGGAGTAAAGGACGGAAACAAAGTCTTCAATATTTTACTTACAGAATCCCCGGTCTTGGCAGAGACAAACTGACTGATGAGGCCATTTTCTTGGCAAAACCGTTGGTGCTTGTCAGCTTTAACAGTTCGCATGTGCTCCAAATCAACTGTAAAAACAATGAAGTGCATTTTAGCAGTTTATACAATAGGGTCAACATTATCGTTCAGCTTCAGACCTTGGTTTATTTTAATCTAAATTGCCAAACTGCACACTGAAGATTTTACACAAGTGGCACTCGAAAAAAGGGAGAGAAAGTGTGCTAAACCACTGAGAAACATAGGATTCTTGCTTTTATGCGTTAAAGGTGATTTTACTTTGACATTTTAAGTCTGGAAGGTATTGTCTTATGTCCCTCCAATAAAAAAGATCTAATCCAAACGTAATCTTTTCCCTGTTATTAAAACAGCAAAAGAAATGTACATAGGTATACATGCACAGCAAATCTGTCTTTCTTGGTTTATACATAAAATCCAGTATGTCTATTACTGTTCATCATTTTAACTGTGCAGTCCAATGTAATGTATCAAGCACTCAATATCCCTTTTCTTCTAAGGAAACAGTCTCACACTGGGATTCATGTGGGCCCAAAGGGGGCTACAAAAGGGGCAGAGAGTTATAGTTTCTCTTTTATTTTTTCTTCAAGCTAACATACACTATATCTAATGGAAATCACCGTTTACAGCATACTAACTGCTACTGTACTGCATCGTAGTTTTTCATTCAGCTTGTAGTCAAAGCTCTCAAAATTTGCATGTTAAATTTACTTACCTTTAGTCTTGAATTTGGTTCTACTTTCAGTTATTCCTCATAAAATGACAACTTTTTCACAGTTAACCACATAGAGGCACATCTGATTAAAATCACTGACTTTGATCATTGTCTTCATATAATTGAAAAGAATGATACAACTCAAAATGCTAATTCCCAAAAACCAATACAGTTTTTTTATAACCAGCTCTTATAAAAAAATGTAATTAGTAACAAAAACAAGAAAAAGGGACTATTTCTCATTTTAAAATAATCTCGGCAGTTAAAAAAGAACAGTTTTAAATAAACATCCCCCACTACTTATAAACACCAAGTCCACAAGACAATACCATATTAATTCCAATAATGAAGTGCTGAGGTACCCAGTGGGCTACTATAAGTAAACTTTACAAATCCTTTAGATCCTGGACACTTGGTCTGGGTTATCAATCACTTGTCATGTGAAGATTTTGTAGCATTAACACTGTTTTATGATTTGTGATGTGCACTGAAACCTCTGAGTAAAATAAAGTAAACCATACAATTTAAAGCAGAAAAAAAAAAGACAGTAACTCAAACATTTTGGAGAGTTTTAAAGGAATTAAATAGCCCCCAATCCTTATTCTCTATGCCTTCTCTTTTCTTTTGTTTAGATACATCATATAAAACAGAAAAACAACTGTGTACAATATATAATACAATCCAAAATGAGAAAAAAGTCAGGTTAGGATAAAGTTAAAGTTTTTAATAGTGCTTTGAACATAAAAGGTCTATATATCTTTTTAAAAGTTTTACCATTTGGATCCATATTAACTAAACAAAAAAGAAGTAAACAAAAATATTAAATATATTATTTTTCCAATAGACAAATGTCTGCATATAAATTTAATTAAATGCAGTTTCGGATTATCATTATGGAACAAACATTCTGTCCACAAATCAAATTAAAACAGAGTAAAACAATGTGTTGAGGTTCTAAGCTCAACAAAAAATGTTAAATTAAGACTTTCATTCTGCACCAATTCAGTTATGATATCAGTCTAGTAAATTATAATACTAGTAAATTATACTATTTGTAGTATGTGATGCGATCTTCAGCTAACTATGAACCCAGAATTTATGTTGGACCCCTACAGACCTTATTAATGCTGACAAAAGAAATGAATGATGTTTACTGAGAACACTAAGTCTTGAGGGTTCTTGTAAAGATTTGTTTATGAGTATCAATTCTTGGCAGGCTGTTTTTTGTCTTTGAGATATTTGACAAGCGCTGTAGGGTAAACCAGTGTACAGAAATTACATTTCCTGAAATATAATGTAAATAAACTATTAGTTACTATACATTCAAAGCAAAAAGAAAATATTCTGTAAAACTCATTGCAAAAATATTCTTTATTGCCATTATCTGGATAATTTAAGCTTCAAATAGTGTTCAAAATAATGTAAACTCAAAATACATAGCCAAATGTTAATTAAATCATACATATAACAAGGAAGAATGGACAAATGAAAGGGTTCTAAGTTTACCAGGGTACAGTTCTTGCATTTAATTTTGTACACACAAAAAACCTAACACTTATAAAGCCATAGGAAAATAATGTATTTCAGCCATAGTTATAACCACTGTTCCATAAGACACAAAGATGTCAGATGTTCATTCACTAATGTGCAGAAAACCTTTACATTGATATATGAATCTAAAAAATAAAAAGTGATCCACAAAATATAGATTTTTGACAACAGCAGCTATGCATGTTGATTTATTAAATATTTATTAGAATGTCAGAACCTTCAGAAAAAAAGCTTTCTAAATCAAGACATTTAAAACAGTGATTTTAAAAACCCGACTAATCAGATTTTAGTGGCCTTGTCACTAGCCACACTGTTATTGAAGTTAGTTTAAAACGGAAGAAGTAATCCTTTTCAGAGCTCTTTTTTGTTAATGCAGTAATTTTTTGGTTATCAGGGAAAAAAATCTGAAGGGCTGATCTGTTTTCCCTCATTTCAGACAAACTGTATGTCACTTTAACTACCGCCAGGAAGTTACTCTAAACACAAAATAAACTGTTTATGCCTATCCACAGATAGATAGCGTGACAGATTATTACTTATAGACAAATGACATGCATTAATTTGATCCAGAGCATGTGTTTATTTTACTGAGTGTCATGTACTGTATTTTGTAGCTCCAGTTCCCTAAAATGATGACATCATTTGTTATTTGCCATTTTGCAGAGTCCTATTTTATTTATACTAAAAGAGAAGCACTAAAAAGCTATATGGAAGCTTGAAAGGAAGTGTACCTTGCCAGCAAAAAGAGATCTGCCCTCTGATTCTACAACACAAACGTGTGATGATTTTAATGGTTTGGACTCTAAAGGTCAACAGCCTAAATAAATCCAAAACGACAATTAAAAAGTTTAGTACAATTTTAAAAACTTAAATGGTAAGCATGTTCAAAATTGATAACAATTTTACAATGTTCATAATCACAACATATACTGTATAATATCTCCATTGTAACTAGCAACTAATTATTAAGATATACAGTACAAATATAAAGTATTGTAAACAGCTGTAAAAAAACAGAACATCTACAGAGCCTGTCATTAACTGTCAATTGACCAACTAAAGATGTTATTTAATTGTATACAGTATATTCTATGATCAGTTGTTTTCTAATGACACTCATGTTAGAACTCATAAAAAACTAAAAGCTTGAATTCAGCTTAAATTTTCATAGACTTAACTCCACCAAGAAGTTTACTTTAGTCATTCACATTTTAGTCTTGAAGTATTACATAATGCTGTGACAGAAACTGATACAATCGTGAAACAGCACACTACATTCTGTTTTTTTACACAAGTTACTATAATTAAACTTTCTAGATGGACGGGACCTGTGTTAAATTGTGATCCATCAGGTGAACAGTTTTTGCAACCTGAATTTAAAATGGTGCATACTATCACAAAACCCTTTTCAAAGGTAATGCAGTTCGTATCTTTCCCATATAAAGCTATATAAAGAAATGTAAAGTTCATATGTTTATATATGTAAAAACTCACATGAAGTACATTTTGTGGTAGCGACATTTGTAATATCTATTTTTTGTGAATTCCATGCAGTATGGCATATATGTAACCCGGTCTACTATTACATGCAGTCCCATTGGTCCTAAGCTATCATTGATCAATAGAAGCTATCGTTGATCATTGAAAATACTGCAGATATGTGACCCAATCTGCACTTAAGACCACATTATCTAATTCTGTTTGAAGCATAAGCCATATGAGTCATTAACACGTCCATCAATGTTTAGAATGTCACAGGAGTGCAGAGCAACCCAAAAGTCAACACACGATACAACCCCCTAAAAAGTGATCAGCCTTGCCTCTTGTGCCGAGTTTGTTCTACTTAGAGAAGTTATTACAAAGTTAACACATTCCATCACTTTTGGGGATAAGAACATGGGAATGGGACATCCAGAAGTACATGATCAATGATTCTAGCAACATCTTATTATGAGGGGTCTTATGGGCAGTGTGGTGGCTCTGTGGCTAAGGATCTGCGCCTATGGCTGGAAGTTTGCCAGTTCGTATCCCGCTGCTGGCAGAGGAATCCTACTCTGTTGGACCCCTGAGCAAGGCCCTTAACCCCAACTGCTCCAGAGGTGCCATATAAATGGCTGACCCTGTGCTCTGACCCCAAGCTTCTCTCCCTGTCTCATGGAGAGCATGTTGGGGCATGTGAAAAAGTAAATTCTTAATACAAGATATTGTATATGGTCAATAAAGTGATCTTATCGTATCTCTTATTGTGATGTTCAATATGTTTTGGGGTAGTTTGGATAAAATGTAAAGTGGTGTAAAATCAAGTACACCTGTACTACTTCTGCTACAAGGAGGACAAAAACATAGGTTTAGATTTAAACAGTATTACCTGACCTCCTCATGCACACCCAGGGCAACAATATTGGTGTAAATGATGAGTCAAAAACAGAGACAAACGCAAGGTAAAAAACAACTAGCTGGTGTTTTATCATCTCCTAAATGTTCACAATGCAAGTAAGAATGGGCTGGGTACACCAGAAATCCTGTGTTTCTGAGTAACTAAGGTGGTCTAAATTCCATTCTTTTTATATAAAAGATTTTTAAATCACAAAGACCCTGTCAGTCAATTTTGCATCACCCTTCTACTGGGGCTCTAATCACCTCTAACTCCTGATTGCAACAGTGTCTCAGTGTGGGTCTTTTAACTGGTCCCTGTGATAATGTCCTGTAAGAATTCTTTATAAGGGGCTCCACATTCTCTGGGTACTTTGAAACTGCTTTGGGTTCCTTAAGCCTAAAGTACTCCAT